ATATAACATTTTAGACACATTCTAGACAGTTTATCAGCTAAAAAAAGTTAATTTTGGGGTAAGTTACTCTTTAAAGTTTATTTGCTTTTTAATTGACAGGACGTCACAAACTCACCTGATGGTTTTCCCTCCAGGCTGCTCTCTGATGTTCTACGAAGAGTTCGGACGAAGCGGCGGCGAGCTGGAGTCCCCGCCTCGTTTCGTCCTGCTGGCTGAGGACAGCGTGGTCCAGGCCGTCCCCGAACACCCGAGGAGGGAGCACGTCTTCTGTCTGAGCAACTCGTACGGAGACGTCTACCTGCTGCAGGTGGGAGGAGCTTCTGTCGTCTTTGACCTTTTAGCTCCTGCTTCTTCAGCGTTTTGTTTTTAAAAAACAGATTTTATTTCTTTACGGGAAAATTTCTGATTCCGGGAAACTTATCTTTTTATTTGCGTCAAACGTTAAAGCTGCAGAACCTGAAGAGGTCAAAGGTCAGGTGAATGTCAGCTCGTAGCGTTTCTCTCTGAGAGGCTCTCAGGTTTACGAGCTCGGGGAGCTCTTCCGTGTCCCCGGAGCAGCTTCGGCTGCTTTCAGCTCCTCTTTTGTTTACAGACTTAAATCAGCTGTGAGGAGGAGGAGGAGGAGGAGGAGGAGTGATGAAGATGTCAGCAGCTGAAAGCCTCCTGATGGGAGTCACAACACACAGCTAATGACTGCAGCTAATGTTGTTTTTACGACCTGCAGGGGCTGTGTTTACTTCAGGGACTGTTGGAAATCACAGCTTCAGATTTAGGATAAATCATCAGCTGCAGAAACTTGTTATATTTGAGTTAAACATTAAAATTACTTAATTGTATTTTTATTTAATATAGAATTAGTTTTATTTTGTAAAAAAAAAGAGAAAACTTTATAAATAAATGAATGTGTGTTTACCTGCAGGTTCTGGTCCGATCCAGTTGTTTTTATTTCAGAACATCACACGGTTCTGGTTGTTTCTAACTTCAGTTTATGGTTCCGACCCATCCAGGCCTCCAGCCAGACAGACCTGGAGAACTGGGTAACGGCGGTCCATTCGGCCAGCGCCGCCCTGCTGGCCCGGCGGGAGGGGAACCAGGACACCCTGCAGCTGCTGCGGCGCCGGATCCGCTCCCTGCTGCAGCGTGTCGACACCGACGGGAAGATGAAGAAGATGGCCGAGCTGCAGCTGTCAATCATCAAGGAACAGAAGAACCGCCGGGCCGTGGAGAACCAGGTCCGAGGGTGGAACCGGGACCGGTCAGAACCTGTTTTCTGGATCTGGATTAAACACTGAAGATGTTTGTGTTGTTTGTCCTCAGATCCAGCAGTGGGAGCAGAACCTGGAGAAACTGAACCTGGACCTGTTCAGACTCAGGTGTTACCTGTCCAGCCTGCAGGGGGGCGAGCAGCCAAACCCCAAGAGTCTCCTGGCCGTGGCCAGCCGGACCTCCAAGACCACGCTGGGACGCCTGGGGGTCTTCTCTGTGTCCTCCTTCCACGCTCTGGTGAGACAGATGGACTCGTCTGAGACAAATGGACAGAAAGACAGACTGGTCTGAGACAAATGGACAGAAGGACAGACTGGTCTGAGACAAATGGACAGAAAGACAGACTGGTCTGAGACAAATGGACAAAAAGACAGACTGGTCTGAGACAAATGGACAGAAGGACAGACTGGTCTGAGACAAATGGACAGAAAGACAGACTGGTCTGAGACAAATGGACAAAAAGACAGACTGGTCTGAGACAAATGGACAGAAGGACAGACTGGTCTGAGACAAATGGACAGAAAGACACTGGTCTGAGACAAATGGACAGAAAGACACTGGTCTGAGACAAATGGACAGAAGGACAGACTGGTCTGAGACAAATGGACAGAAAGACAGACTGGTCTGAGACAAATGGACAGAAAGACAGACTGGTCTGTGACAAATGGACAGAAGGACAGACTGGTCTGAGACAAATGGACAAACCAAAGGTGTCCAGGGTCAGACAGTAATGGGTCTCTGGATCCTGCAGGTCTGCAGTCGAGAGGAGGATCAGTTGAAGCGGCGCTGCCTGTCTCAGTCAGCTGGTTCTGTCAAACGAGGTCTGCTGTCCTCCCTGAAGGTCCAGAACAGACGGAACAAACACTCACAAGTCCAGGTAATAGACCGCACCCGTTCACTGGTCTGAGCGAACCTTCTACTGTTTCTGAGTCAGAACCTTTTTAAAGAACCCGGCTGGTCTTTGTGAGGTTCTGTCCTCCTCTGCTCTGTTTTCAGATTTGATTAAATCAGATTTATCCCCAGGGAAATATAAATATTTGTTTTGCAGACAATAAATCAAATGTTTTTGTTTCTCAGGACTGTGAGTCTGTGGCGCCCTCTGCAGGCCCAGCTCGTAAACTGCAGGTTGGTTCTCACTGCAAAATGTTTCAATTTTCTAATTAAATTGAAATTTTTTAATCAAAAGCAGAAGATGTATACAATAATTAAAAGAAAAAGAGGGAAAACATTCTGAATGAAAAGAGGGCAAAGTGAAGCAAAATTGGCACTTATTTGAATAAAAAAATAACTTTAAAACAAATTCAACATTGATTTTAATGTTTTTATCTGAATCATTTTACAACAAATTCTGATGTAACCTTTAAATGTGTCAAGTTTATATACAAAAATATATTTTTAATAAGTTTCAATGAGGAACTTGTTTTGTTTCAGCTGGGTGAAGAGCAGAAGTCTTCATCACTCGGTGTTTTCACTCTGCAGGTCTGTCGACACGAAACAGACCAGAACTTTGGTGAGAAACAATCTTTAAAAACAACTCATTTCCTGTTGATGAAAACATCTGAACCAACAGCTGGAGACACTTTTATTATTTAACATGAAAAACATTTTAATCAGTCGTCTTTATGAAACTCTGACGGGTGAATTGAAGGTTTCTGTTTCCTCCCATGGTGCCGCAGGTTTCGCGGTGACGGGTCACGTGGACGGAGTCGGTCAAAGTCACGTCTTCGTCAGCGAGGTCGACCCGTTTGGACCTTCTGCCATAGAAGGTGAAACATCTGGAACGCCTGCAGTTTGTGTGTTTGTCCAGCAGGGGGCGCTCTCATTCATTAAATGTTTTAGAAAAATAAATCGGACTTTATTTCTTTACAAATTCAAAAAGTCTGAAGTTTATTTATAATTCTCCTTCGTGTCCCTGTGTCTCATCAGGACTTCGGGCTGGAGACGAGGTTCTGGCTGTAAACGGGTCACCTGTATCAGGTCTGGACCTGGACCTCCTGCAGACTCTGTTCACCCACCACAACCTGCAACTGCTGCTGAGGAGAGACGAGTCTCCTGACCCCGAGGAGCCCACCCTCGTCTGGCCCAACCCCGCTGACCCCGGAGACCCCGCCCACCTGCTCACCTGGTCTACAGGTAGCGCAGGCGGAGACTCAGAGTTTCAGTTTGATCAGCTTTTCATCATAAACATTTAAAATAAATAAAAACATCTCGATGATGTCACAGATTCTGCACTCGTCACTGATGCAGCTGAAGCTCCACCTCCTGCTGTTAGCCACACCCAGACGATGCAGAGGTCACCTGAGCAGGTGAGTCAGGAATGTAATTTTTATTTTTTTGTTTATTTTAATAAAGTTGATTTTTTCCCTCTAAGATTCAAAGTTAAAATAAACCAAATAAATTCAAACTGAAGAAGAAAGTTGAGTCTCTGTGAGCAGAAGGCTTTAAACCAGTCAAACTTACCCACAGCCCCGCCCCCTCGGTCACATGACCCTCAGTGAGCCTGATAATCTGGGTTTACTCTGTCGGGACTGTTTGAAGTCTCAGCAGACAGATTATTCAAATGCAGGAAGTCCTCCATGTTTGAGAGCAGATCCTGGTCCTGACGGGTCCCACAGGTAAACTTTGACCCCCGAGACTCACCATGGGCGCTCTGTGCTGGGTGCTGCCGCAGGAGGAGGACGAGGAGACGCTGGAGGAGGAGCAGGAGGAGGATGGAGAGGAGAAGCTGCAGGCGGCATGCTGTCTGAGCTGCTACCAAGATCCAGACGCCTCTGCTGCTGCAAGGCTGGTAAAACATGGTCCACCTCAGACCTGGTCTACCTGAAACATGGTTCATCAATGACTTGGTCCACCTGTTGTCAGCTTGTCCCTGGTCCGAACTTGTTGGCTGCTCATGTGAACAGTTCGAGCTCAGAGTCTGTGTTGGGGATGACTCTCAGCAACTACCACACAAACATTTAGTTCAGCTGCTGTGAAACTGGCTGAAGTTCAGCTGTTTTTGTTTGTTGAAGTTCAGCTGTTTTTGTTTGTTGAAGTTCAGCTGTTTTTCTGTTTGTTGAAGTTCAGCTGTTTTTGTTTGTTGAAGTTCAGCTGTTTTTGTTTGTTGAAGTTCAGCTGTTTTTATGTTTGTTGAAGTTCAGCTGTTGTTTGTTGAAGTTCAGCTGTTTTTGTTTGCTGAAGTTCAGCTGTTTTTATGTTTGTTGAAGTTCAGCTGTTGTTTGTTGAAGTTCAGCTGTTTTTGTTTGCTGAAATTCAGCTATTTTTATGTTTGCTGAAGCTCAGCTTTTTTTGTTTGTTGAAGTTCAGCTGTTTTTGTTAGTTGAAGTTCAGCTGTTTTTCTGTTTGTTGAAGTTCAGCTG